GAAAGACCTAAAGCGCCAGGCACGGTGGCTCACGCCTGTAATCCCAGCACTTTGGGAGGCCAAGGCGGGCAGATTACCTGAGGTCAGGAGTTTCAAGACCAGCCTGGCCAACATGGTGAACCCGTCTCTACTAAAACTACAAAAATTAGCCGGGCATCGTGGCACACCCTGTAATCCCAGCTACTCGCGGGGCTGAGGCAGGAGAATTGCTTGAGCCCGGGAGGCAGAGGTTGCAGTGAGCCGAGATCGTGCCACTGCACTCCAGCCTGGCCAACAGAGTGAGACTCTGTCTCCAAAAAAAAGAAGAAAAGAAAAGAAAAAAGAAAACCTAAAGCAAGCATAGATGAAATGTGGAATGCTACAGGTGCCAGGGAAAATACAACTTAGGAAAATTCTTACTGGCAAGAACTTGAAGTTCTTAATGAGAAGAACCTAAAGTAAATTTAACTAAAACAAGGTGTTGCTTTTAACTGTGGCTAGCGCAAAAGAACTAAGAAGGTATTTGGTTTGGTTTTTGCCTTCTTGTTGTTTTTATTATTTTTAAGGCAAGAAATGTATGTTTTAATGGAAGGCAAGGGTAAGAATAGACGGGTTTAACTTATGGATAAATAAGTTATAAAAGCAGCATCTTAGGATTTTTATTTTATACATTGCATACTGACTGATCACTCTTTTATGTTACTCTGGTCCTAATGAGCAGAAAATAACAATTTGGAATATATACATATATACACACAGTGTTTTTGTTTTGTTTCATTTTGTTTTTGAGACAGGATCTCACTCTGTCACCCAGGATAGAATGCAGTGGCATGATCTCGGCTCACAGCAACCTCTGCCTTCTGCCTCCTGTCTCCTGGGCTCAGGTGATCCTCCCACCTCAGCCTCCCAAGTAGCTGGGACCATAGGGTTTCGCCCTGTTGCCCTGGCTGGTCTTGAACTCCTGAACTCAAGCGATCTACCTGCCTCAGCCTCCCAAAGTGCTGGGATTACAGGCATGAGCCACCATGCCCAGCCTATATTTTGTAATGGTTAGAAATATTAAGATTATTTTTTACTCTTTATAGTAAACATGAAAAAACATTTTGAGAATAGTAGATAATCAGATATCTTATACCTGGTGGCTGGAATTATTCCAGCTCTTTACCTAATTTGAAAATGATACTGTGGCAAGATTTTCAATTAAAATCATTTTGGGTATTTGGCACACAGGTGTAATGAATAAAGAACTGGTTAGAGTGTGAGAATGTCTGTTTTAATTCTAGCTCTATGACATTCAGTCTGTGACATTGAGAGTTACTTGCACCTTCCTCTGGACTGGAGATCCTTTCTAGTGCACACATTTTATAATTCTATTCTGTATCTTGTTCAAGTAGTCTGCTTTGTCATTACATTAACATTTATGAAAGACTTGCTGGTATCATTGGCTTAGCAATTATTTTTCCATCTAGATGCTTTTTTTTAAAGAAATGAAGGCAATACGTAATGTTTTAAATGTACATTTTAGTTTTAAATTTTAATCGAGGATTTTTATTTTATACATTACATACTGATCACTCTTTTATGTTACTCTAGTCCTAATAAACAGAAAATAACAATTTGGAATATCTACAACAATGAGAGCACAAGGAGGTAAAATATAGCATAAATAAGTCATGTGTGTATACGAACTGAGATATATAGAAATAATTAAATGGAACACATCTTTTGGACCACAAGCCTCAGGAAGCTATAAGGATTATTTGCATTCTTACACCTGGGCACTCTTCCTTTTTGCTGAATATCAGTTTTTCAATCTTTTCTATTTTTGAAATAGGTAAGAAGAGAAAATAATTTTCTAGAATTTGAAGAAAAATCCTAAAACATTTCAAACTCTTTGTTATGATGACTAATATAATGAATAGTCAGCACTCAGGTTTATCAAATATTAACATTTTTCCATATTTGTTACAGAATTTTTTCCATATTTGCTTCAGAAATAATTTCTTTATATATAATACATATTTGAACACTGATTTTACTTGGCACATTAATATAAGGCTGATGTGCTGAGATGAATAAATCAAAGAACCTCTTGGAGCTTTTGGTGTACAATAAGCATAGTTAACGAGTATAAAATAAGTGATATTTTCTAGAAAATAAATACTGGTCTACAATTCCATCTGTCATTTCAGAGTCTCTAAAAAGATCTGAAAGTCCAATGCCTTTTAAAAATAAAATTACAGTAATCTCATTTGGCCACAAAACCTGTTCAGAATTGATGTGAGGCTATTAAGATATTTATCTCTCTTATTTATTAGTGAATATTCATGTTTCACTGCAGAAATACTAACGAGTTTGATTACAGGGTGCTTTAGACTACCCTCAAGGTGTACATATTTGCTCCTTTTTTCTAAAATCCCAAACATCCTGGATTCTGGAACACATCTAAACCCCCAACATGAATTAGGAGTATTATATAAGGAAAGAATTAGGAATTTTGAGAGTGGGAAATACTACTTCTATCTGAAGGATATCGAAAGCTTCAGGAGGAAGTTACCATTTAAGCCAGTCTTTAAAATTGGTAGATTTAATATATGAAGATTGCAGGGAAGCCTTCCAGGTAGTAGACCAAGAGTAAAAGACATGAACTAGGGTGAAGAGATTGGTAAGTATTATAAGTACAGGGGGTGTTGGAAGAGCAAGTGTATTGTTGTGAAAGGACGTAGGAAGTGAACTGCTAAGAAACAGTAGAAAAATTAGCAAGAGCCTGAATATGATCTTTAAAGGCATTGCTGAGCTAAGTTAGAGAATAATAAGCACTGTTTAATCATGGAATCAACTTCAGTGCCCATCGGTGGTGGACTGGATAAAGAAATGTGGTACATATACACCATGGAATACTATGCAGCCATGTCTTTTGCAGCAGCATGGAGCTGGAGGCCGTTTTCCTAAGCAAACTAACACAGGAATAGAAAACCAAATACTGCATGTTATAAGTAGGAGCTAAACATTGAGTACATATCGTCATAAAGAAGGAATAACAGACACCAGGGCTTACTGGAGGGTGGAGGGTGGGAGGAGGATTGAAAAACTACCTGTCGGGTACTATGTTTATTACCTGGATGATGAAATAATGCGTACACCAAAACCCCCATGATACGCAATTTACCTGTATAACAAACCCGCACATGTACCCCTGAAACTAAAGTAAAAGTTTAAAAAAAAGAAAAAGAAGCAAATTCTCTTTTTTGATATGTGAAATCAGAAGAGTCCTAGTTCCAAAATAAAACAGGATCTAATAGAAATCAAGTGCCGGCTAATGGCTCAAGTATCTAAACCTCCCTGGTGCTTTGCCTGCAATCAGAGATTGCATCCATCCATCTTGCTTTGTGATTCATATAGCTGAAATTTCTACAAGCTTATTTAACTGAGACTTGATATTTTTATACTCAATTGTGCTTTGAAGATAAGAAATCTATGGAAACAATTCTAACATCATTGTAAATGTCATAAATATTATTTATTCAACAAATGTTTATTTGGTACCTATTGTTCCAAGTGCTGGAAATGTTACAGTAAAGAAAACAAAAATCCCTGCCCTCACAGAACTTAACTTCTGGACAATGACACATTTTTTAAAAGCTAGATTATCTACTGGTTCCCTTCATTTTCTTCTTACGTTATGAGTTAGTGCATAAGTGAAACTCTAGTTTCCCCTAAAGTGTTCTGTGGCACTTGTCTTCATAATTCACTATAAATCTTTTAAAATTTGAAGTCATTTGATCTAAGCCTTTATACTTGGCAGTGAGGTAGACCTTAATACTTCCAGCTTCATCAGAAAAACATAAGGGTATGCTTGTTCTGATTCAGTCTGTTATCTGTTTATGTTAGAATTTACAAAAACAAAGTGACAAGCACTAATGAGAGCTTTACATAGAGGTTTAAAGTAGTGTCCATATCAGATCTATATTTTATTTGTCTCTTCCCCCTTTCCTTTTTACGCTCTCATTATTGTTGGTGACCCTTTCAGGAATAATTTTATTGTGTTTACATCTTAAATCATTGAATTACTTACACATCCTTTCACTTCATATTATTAGCAAAAACAGATATTTTTAAAAACTATTCCTGACTGCAAGATTATCCTTTTGGTCATGAAAGTGTGGCCTGCAATGGTCCAAGCAAAATTTTGAACATAGTTATTGATGCATAATGTCTTTTTATAGATAGCAAGTAAGTAAAAATATTAAGTCTAATTAAGCAATTGCTTAAGTTACACAAGTCTCATGAAGTGCATTGGGAAACTTTCCACTTTTTCTCTTCTTTCAAAGGGCTTGTACAGATGAGAATTACCTATCCCTTGATTGTTTGTTTTTTTCTTTTTTTGAGACGAAATCTTGCTTTATCACCCAGCCTGGAGTGCAGCTGTGCGGTCTTGGCTCACTACAGCCTCCAATCCCCAGGTTTAAGCAATTCTTGTGCCTCAGCCTCCCCAGTAGCTGGGGCTACAGGCACGTGTCACCACCCCCGACTAATTTTTGTATTTTTAGCAGAGACGGAGTTTCACCATGTTGGCCAGCCTGGTCTTGAACTCCTAGCCTCAAGTGGTCTGCCCGCCTCAGCCTCCCAAAGTGCTGGGATTACAGGCATGAGCCACCACACCCAGCCCTACCTGTTCCGTGAATGTTAAGTAAAATTCACTTGTAAACTGGGCCTGGTATTTTCCTTGTGGAAGAATTTTAAACTACTGATTTGGTCTCCCTAAAGTTTTAAATTTAGATTGTTTCTTAGTGGGTTTTATTTTTTTCCATATTTATATTGGCTATTAAAAATGTAGGGGAGCTCCTGTCATTCAGTTTCGCTTCATCTAAACTAGAACCTACCATCAAAATTGCTATTTCAATATGATGTGTGATTCATACTTGGAACACAGTTTTAGAAATGCTTTTTGAAAGTAACTTTAAATAAAATATTGTGATACAGTTGATGAAGATCGTTTTCTTTCGTCATAGGAGGAACCAAATCAGATGAAAAAGTGGACTTGAGCAAGGACAAAAAATTAGCCCAATTTAACAACTGGTTTACATGGTGTCATAATTGCAGGCACGGTGGACATGCTGGACATATGCTTAGTTGGTTCAGGTAATCAGCACATTTCTTCTTTGATAGGCTTGGAGTTGTGGGGGATAACACAGATTGCTTCTAAATAGTTTGGGTTTATCTGTTAACATTTAGCCAAAGTATGAATTTTATTTTTACTGTCACTCAGACGTTAACAAAGGTGGTATGAACATTTCATCATTAGATATCCTATATAACCTTAAACTATAAAGGTAATACTTGTGTAAGAACTAATTTAAATCTTTTGTATGAGTTAAATGTTTGATTTAACTTTATTTGGGGAGAGGATATGTTTACAGTTTTTACAACTGAATATGCTGTAATTTATCATGCAATTGAATTACTAATGAAATGATAAAAGAGCATATCATACTGCTGCCTGAGTTCTCTTCTAAGTAAGCTTTTTATGTAGTCATGCAATTGAGACTCTCAAGACCATATTTGAATTTTATTTTGAATGGTGCCAGTGGCCCTGTGCTTCTGATTGATACAGCATTTATACCCAGTTTGTCTCACTAGCCAATTTAAACTCTGAGCACATCCCTGTCACCTTCACAACTGTAAATGAAATATCTTGCCATATATGTAGAAAGTAAAAGGTATGTATTTCTTCTCCCTAAAGTTCAGCTTGGCAGTAATTTATGATTTGATGCTTTTGATGCTTTTTTCCTCTGGGTTTTAGTTTCTACATTTTTCCAAATGCCATTTTGAAAAGTTGCATTATAGATAGATATAAGTAAACAAGTGGGCACAGTGGTGCACACCTGTAGTCCCAGCTACTCAAGAGGCTGAGGCAGGAGGATGGCTTGAGCCCAGGAGTGTGAGTCCAGCCTGGGCAATATAGCGAGACCCTGTCTCTTTAAAAAAAAAAAAAAAAGAGAGAGATAAATAAATGTATGTATGTCTAATTTGGATTTTTAACTGTTATTTGACCTGTTTTTTTAGGGACCATGCAGAGTGCCCTGTGTCTGCATGCACGTGTAAATGTATGCAGTTGGATACAACAGGGAATCTGGTACCTGCAGAGGCTGTCCAGCCATAAAATGTTATCACCTTAAGAGAAACCTTCAAGTGTGGAGCTTTCTAATAGGTGTCCTTCATAGCTCAGAAACATACCTCAGAACAAGTCATTCATGACTTACCTGTAATGGGAAAATAAATCATTCTATCAGATCAGCAGGTTTGAAGTTTGAGTGATTTTGATGTGCTTCACAGAGACAAATGCTGCTGAAATAAACATCACAGTATAGACATGAGTTCTGTTCAGCAGGTTGAAAAGTCTACTTTAGAAAAGCTGTCTAAGTTTTGGTTGAAATTATGAACACTCTACAAGCAAAATTTCTGGAATAGCCAAGAACAGATTTTGAGCCTATGTCTTCAAAGCTGAAATTGGATATCTTTCAATAAAATATGTGCACTTTTAAAATAAAATGACTAATTCTATGATTCAGACAATAGTTTTAAGTTCAGCTGTGCTTAGATTTCTTTCACATTAATTTAAAATTACAGATTTTTACTTTTAGAATTGAAGAGCCCCTATCCCACACTGGAGAATATTTTTTATTACTGTCTGTTATATATATGTGTGTATGTGTGTGTGCATATTTATGTGTGTATGTATAAATATGTATTTTTTAAAGGAGCCTTTTCCCTCATATACTTTGATTTTAAGATAAGCAATCTTTTGGCGTAGACATTATCGTCTTCCTAGAAAAGTCAAGAGGAAGAATCTATCTTACGACTTTTTCTCTTCAGAAGAGAAAAACATGTACCATTTCAGGTGAACATACAAAATTTTCACTTTCTACCTTTTGCTTTCCAATGTCCTGATTTGTGTTCAAAGGTTTTTCTCCATACTAATTTGTCATCCTCATCACCTGAGAACATTTTACTGCATACAAAGTCTATGCAAGATTATATGTAACTAGCCATTTAGTACAATGTCAGTGTTTCTGTACTGTCAAATTCCATCCTGATTTGGAATACCATACCTTGTTCTTTCCAGGGTAGACTAGGAAGTGTTGGAGAAATAGGGTCACTTCAGAGACCACTTTAGATGTAAGTTTTTAAATATTAAGTGTTACTGGGGCTAAGTCAGGGACTTTATTTTAAAATTTATTTTTTCTCATTTCATAGCTAGATAGTTATAAGAGAAATACAAAGAATTTACAAGATGCTTCTCTGTCATCTGCCATATGCAGAGGGACTGAACTAGGAACTTTGTAGTTGAATCTGTATTCATAAAGAGTAAATCTAATTTTATTTTATAGATTTTGGAGAAATAAAACAAGAATTTTAAGAGCTTTCGTATTAGCAGTTTTGCCTTACAAAAACTAAGATTTGTCAGATTAGAGGTACAACCTAAATATTAAAAGTAGATTAAATTTATTTTTAACCTTGAGTATCTGATACATAAAACCCTTTTCTAGGAAAACATTAGAAGTGGTACATATCTACTCTAAATGTTTCACCTACATGAGTCTTTTCAAATGAAAGACATGGGAATTGCAAATTTTTTTAAAGATTGCTATTAAGGGTACTTTTTCCAGCCTTCGTTTGAGTAAATCTTTTTTTTTTTTTTTTTTTGGATGGGGGCTTGTTTTTTCCCCCCGGCCCAGGCAGTGGCACGATTGCAACTCACTGCAAGCTCCGCCTGCCGGGTTTACGCCATTCTCCTGCCTCAGCCTCCCGAGTAGCTGGGACTACAGGCGCCTGCCACCTCGCCCGGCTAGGTTTTTTTTGTATTTTTAGTAGAGACGGGGTTTCACCGTGTTAACCAGGATGGTCTTGATCTCCTGACCTCGTGATCCGCCCGTCTCAGCCTCCCAAAGTGCTGGGATTACAGGCTTGAGCCACCGCGCCCGGCCTGAGTAAATCTTAATTGATTTCATTTTATTAACATATACCCTTTACCTTTAATATTTCATTTGAAGTGTTCCTTTCAAATTTACTGTGTCCTAAATATGAAAGTCAGCTTTAAGTAATGTCAGACTCTTATGTACATTTTCATTTCTCATTAAAGTAAAATATAAAATTATTGAATTTATCTGAAATAGTTACAAGTTTTGGAAATACAGCATAAAACATGAATGTAAAGTCTATTATGTAGTATGCGTATTTGTAATCCTAATATATGAGGGTGACATTTTTAAGGTTGTATGTATGTGTCAACCTCTTAAATGTTTTCTGTGAAGCCCAAACATGCAGTTTATGTCTCTGGTGTTTGTTTTGCATTTTAGTGTGCATGGACAATGAAGGTAGATTCAAATTATTTTCTCTTTTTTATAACTAAGTCACTGGTATTTGGGTTTATAAACTCGACAAGATACTTTACCTAAACATGATCAATAGACGTGTTTAATAAAAGTGTTTTTATTATTTTTAAAAGATTGAATAAATCTGGTTGAAGTCATTGTATCAAGAAATTATGGTTTCTTTACAAATAGTCCACATGAAGTAATATTGGTACTTATTTTGATGACAGACTTCATACTTAATATTAGAAGTAACATTCCTTTTTCGGCTCTGTTTTTCAGTTTAACCCACTTTCCAGAATGGTTCTTATCCTTATTTTAAAAGCTTCCCATTGTCAATGCTTCACATAGTGAGTATTTAAAAGAATGTAGTTCTGCATTTAATTAGATGACTCAATTTCAGTCATTCATTTGACTGCAAGTAGTAAAAGCATGGTCTTTGAAACATAAAGTATAATCCTAGCCTCGGGATCTTGGGTAAGTGACTTGACCTTTTTGAGCTTCAGTTTCTTTATATGTTAAAAAGAAAGATATAGAAAATACCTACCTCATAGAGTGTGGGAGTGTTAGGTGATGCAATAAACATGAAGTGCCATATCCCTGTCACATAGTGCTCTATAAATGGTAGTGATTAGCATTGTTACCTTCATTTTCATAGATTGCTCATGTATCAGTACTTTTTCAGTGAATACAGTATAATTTTAACAAAGAATCTACATTTGTCTCAAGAATGAAAATTTCCTTAGTGTGAGTTGGCTGAAATAGATTTTTTTTAAAAAGAATGAAAATTCCCAATAACAGTAATACTCCAAATACAGGGTAAACAAAAGTAACTAAGTCCTATCTCAAAAGAAAAATGCTATAATTTGGATAAATTTGGAGTATTACTGTTTTTTTTTTGCATGCAAAAATCCTTCAGCTGACCTCCTAGGAGTTAAACGTGATATAAAAATGAACCCAGAGGAAAAAATTACGGCAAATTTAACAACTGACTATTGAAAACTTTAAGTTTTTATATCTATTCTCAACTCTTAATTTAACTAGGTTTAAATTGAACTCACTAATCTGGATACTTGGAGAAAGTATCCAGGATTATTCTGTGTACTTTTTCCTTTTCTGCCATTCTGCTACACTTGATGTTCATTTAAGTTAAAATGTTGGGGTAGTAGTGGTAATTTCAAAAGTATACTGTGAGACTTGCTCTCCCGGAATAGCCATAATTAAAGCTAGTGGGCACAATTTCTGACATCTGCACAGATAGGCATCAGAGAGGTGGGAGACACATATTTGGGTCAATATCTTGTATCAAGTCTAGTGACGCACATCACAATGACAGAAACAGGCCTTGCTAGATAGCAGCTCCCCTATCCACTGCTTACTCCTTCCATTACATCATCCGCAAGTTTTCTCTTCTACCTGCAAATGTTATAGGTTTCTTTGCTGATTATAACAAGTAACACTTTACAAATATATTAATTTTTATAAAATACTACTTCTCCCAGAGTACAGAGACAGAAGGAAAGCCTTCCAAAGTTTTTAAAAGCTAACAACCCAGATACCAAATTAACACAAATTTAACATGATAAAATCACAAGTAAAATTAGTTATCAAATGCAGCAGTATATAAATTACTGTTAATGCCTTTTATGTGCTAGGTGCCAAGCACATTATCCTGTTTTTGCAATAAACCTATGGGGTAGTTATATCATTATTGTCCCCATTCTGTAAATGAGGCAATTCAGGCATAGAGACATCAGTTCACTTGTCCTAGGTTACACGAGTAGCAAGTACAGCCAAGACTTAGATTCCAGTAGTCTTGACTTCCTAAGCTGCCCTTTTAATTTCTGTTTTCTGCTTCTGTGTATTACTTTGTAGGTTCTGTATATAAGAGAATGATTCACTATGACAAAGAAGGGTTTATTCCAAGAATTAAGTACTGGGTAATATTTTAATCATATTTAGTATTAATACACCAAAAGAAGAACCATGTCAATAGCTCTTTGGATGTACAAAGCACTTGATAAAATTCAAAAATTGATCTCTAATTTGTTTTTTAGGTTAGTTGTTATTTAAAGGAAATGTTTTCTCTCCATTTTCTCCGCTTCTATTTCACTGTCTCACACATCATGATGCCTATTAGAGAAATACTAGAATCCTTCTCACTATAGACAGCAATAAGATGTGGATGCTGTTGTCACTGGTTCTGCACATGGCAATGAAAAGAAAGCGAAAGGAGGCACACCTTTGCTTCTTTTCCAAATCATCAAAATTTGGTATGGCAAAAATCATAAATAGTTACAAAGCAAACAAATTGATAAACTACAACATTTATGACAAATTGTCTTAATTCATAAAGGACATTTTCAAAGCCGAGGAAAAAACAATCAGTAGATAATATCAATCAAAGACTTGTGCAAGCAAAATAGAACAGCTGACAAATTTAAATAAATGCTAAATCAGTAGCATGCTGATTAAAAAGTAGATTACTTTTCGCTTGTCTGCACAGATTTAAAATAATAGGCATTTTCATGAATATGGGAAGGAAACATTCTGAGATAACAGCTTATGAGGGTTTTAAGTCTTGAGGACAGGTAAACTGTATTAATCAGAAGCCGTAAAAAGGTTCATATCCTTTGACATAGTATGCTGGGAATATTTTCTGAGGAATTGATTGCATAAGTGCACAAAGATGTATATTTTTATGATATGATTCTACACAGTATTGTTTGTAATAAAAACTTGGAAACCTAAATGTCCAATAATAGAAAAGAATAAATTATTGTATATGCATATAGTGGGTTACTAAGAAATGATTCAATTAGTATAGATATTTTCATTGACAAAGGTTTCTTAATGGTAAGTGAAAGGAAAGGGAAGTTATAGGATAGTATATCTAGCATATAAATATATTTGTATGGGATATGGTTAATACAGAAACTTTTAACAGTGGCCATCTTTAAAGAGTGGAATTTTGAGTAACATTTTCTTCCTATCTGTATCTTTGATTTTTCCCAATAATAATGAATATATAAATGTATGTGCATCTCTCTCTCTGTCTCTTGCACACACACACCCCATATATATACACACACGTATATATACACACATATACGTATATATGTGAACATATAAATGTATGTGCATCTCTCCTGTCTCTTGCACACACACCATATATAT